AGTTTTAAAATGTCCTAAGGTGCAGCAAAGGTTTATATATTATGAGAAACCTGAGAATCTAAGAGCAACAAACTTATACAAGTAAACCTACTCTCTAAATATATTGAGTTTCCAACCTCATTTGCTACACTAATCGAAGAGATGCATCTGTTTTCCACACGTCTGTCCATGATTGAATCCATTTTTAGTAGCTATTAGTCTTCTTCCTGTTCTTTCACCTTCCAACTATCTTGTTTGTACTAGTAGGAGCTACTTGCGTCTTAGGTTTACTGTCATTTGTACCAAGAGATTTTATTAACGTATTTTATAGGCATTTCATGAATTTATATATGTATATTGACTCATGACCATATGGCGTTATATACGCGTATATATATATATATATATATATATATATATATATATATATATATATATATATATGGGATATGGGATATGGGAAAGGTTATGGCGTTATTTATGCACCACCACCTGATCAGCTGGTATGCGTTGTTGATTTTGCCCACAGTGGCCGAGATAATATGACGGGATGGCCTCAGAGGCTTGATGATGTTCTGAACACATGTGCTTATACACGACATGATATTCATATGCATATGCATGACAATATAAGTATTACATGATTTACATAGTTATCAAGACTTACATGTCGAGTCCTTTACTCCATGTTTCTCTCATGTCTATTGTATATTATTTACTGATTTTTACTACTTACATACTTGGTACATTATTTGTACTAATGTCTCTTTTGCCTGGGGACACTGCGTTTCATGCCCGCATGTTCCAATAGACAGGTCGAGAGTCCTCCAAGTAGGTTATCAAATCAGCGAAAGATGTTGGTGCACTTCATTTGCTCCAGAGTTGCTTGTTTGGTCAATATGATTTAGACGTGTAATGTTTGGTATGGCAGGGCCCTGCCTCGATCTTTGTGGTAAGTATGTACTCTTAGAGGCTTGTAGACAGATGTCATGTATACGAATTCTTATATAGCCTTGTCGACCTATGTTTTGAGTTTACAAATGATCATGTTGGCCTTATAGGACCGTATGTCACATGTATAAGTTTTTACGTCAGGTTGGGTCGTTCTATATTGAGTATTCTTTTTTGTTTATTCTAGTGAGCCCATGACGACCCGTTTGGCCCATTTGCTAATGAAAGTACAATAAGTAAGATATGTTATGTTGGTACTCGGTTGAGTAAGGTACAGGGTGCTCATTGCGGCCCATAGGTTTGGGTCGTGACAAAAGTGGTATCAGAGCAATTCTGTCTTAGGAACTCTACAAGTCGTGTCTAGTAGACTCTTCTTTATGGGTGTGTCATGCACCACACTTATAAGTAGGAGGCTACAAGGCATTTAGGACTGTCACTCTTTCTTCTTACTCTAGATAGTGTGGTAGAGCTCATTTATAAGAATTCAAACTCCTATCTTTTATTGTATCCATAATATGACGGTACCTCCAGTTGGTAAGAGATTGAATGCGGATATGGAAGGGTTGAGTCAGAGGAACTCGATTTTTCATGATGCTTCTGATGAGAAAATGTAAGGTCTTCAGTAGATCATGTGTGTACTAAGACGTGTAAGCCTTTTGATAAAGAGCCTTAAGGCAAGAATATCTATCTACCCTTATGGTGAAAGGCAATGAGAGATTTAGAAGATAGTACAAGTCTCAACAAGTAGAAAAAGCAAGGTGAAGAAGGATACAAGGCGCCCAGTTAATGAAGACTATCATTATTTACCATTAAGGATGGGAGATATAAGTATTTTGAGTTACCTTCAACGGTAGTTGAGGTATGTAAAAATGGCCACACCCATCTCATTTATGTCCTATGGAAGTTAACACAAGTAGTATAACAGAAAGTCGGATATCAAGATCTATCTAAGGTTAGAGTGAACTAAAAATGGGGGTGGAATGTTTGCGTTAGTAGACATTTCTGAAGGATTGTGCAAATATGCTAATAGATCTTCTTGTGAGGCACCCAGATGGTGCACTCTAAAATAGTACGACTAGATATGAGTATTACAAAGATAGGAACTGGAAGCCTTGAAAGGGGTAAGTATTATCTTAGTATGGCTCTCGTCCCTAGTAGAGAGAGAATGTTAGGCAACTCGAAGAGCTAATGGATGAAGCAAGGGGAGCTAAGAGCAAAGGAATATCTTGTTCGTTTTTTCAGAATAAAGTGATAGACATACATATTAGGGGAAATAAGAAGAGAGTTAGTGAATCATTATGATTGAGATATGATACATGGATGACAACGTGGAAGAAAAATGAAATGACAGTGTTACATAGTCTATAATCGAGGGAAGAAAAAGATGAGGGGTTCCAGGCCTGGAGAAAACAAAAGAGTATAGGCCATAAGGTTGTATCCTCATTTTGAGAAATAAGTTCATGACTCCAACGCGACTGCTAGAAAGAAAATTTAGACCCCAAAGTAATAGAAATTAGTATGGGCTGGTGAACAAGGTGAGCTAAACATGAATTAGGGATTGAGTAATTTGATAATGATCGGCATCATAAGAATTTTAGATTGCGTTCTAACGATAATAGAATGGACAACAAAAAAAGATTCATAAGAAATTTAGAGAAGGTCATTCAAGAAGATGCTTCCCTAAAGCAAGCAATGTGAGCAAAGTTAAGCTTAAGGGACTGTATGTGCCAGCTATACTAAGTGTCACCCTCACGAGTAAGGAAAGTTGTTATCCGAGGTACAGAAGGATCACCGCAAGGCGAGTAAGGGTCATCAATAATGTGATAAGACGCCAAATATAAAGAGGCAAAATATCTATAGGTAGATCGTCATAGCGCTAAATATTAGTACTCCTCTAAAGGGGGGAATATGGAGTGATGTGGCATTAAGTCAGAATTAAGTGGTTCTAGTAATTATGCAATGGTAAAGGAATAATGTGATAAAATGAAAAAGGGATGAGATTGCACTTATTCAAAGCCTACAAATATGCTACGATTCTAGAACATTATGCAAACATGGCATCAATAAGAGGAAGTGAGGGTTCCTTCCCGAGATGTTATTGATGAATAAGGAGCCAATGCGAGAGGTAAGTTAAGACAAAAGAAATAACTCAAAAAAGATTACGCGGAATATTGTTATAAGGATGGGCCAACGAGTAGTTAGTAATTGATTCAGGAAGAGCCTAGTTATGGCTAGACAAGAGGATACAGAAAAATCAATAGATCGTGCAAGATAAACATAGTAAACCCCAACATGGGGAATTCAGTCTCGCAGATATGACATCGTGATCCTTGAGAAGTATTAAGATATAAGTTGGGGTAGTTAAAGATACCATATGAGTATTACTGAAATAAAAGAGAATGTTACTGGGAAGACAGTCAAAATATTAATTTAGAAGCAACCCTACAAGCACAAGGACGGAAAGGTAAGTAACTAAGGATAATTTAAGGTGAGTACAAACATCAAAAATTCTGTCGGGTAAACGATATAACCAGCTTGCACCTTTATAAGAGCTAGAAGGTCTCCCGCAGTATTAAAATGAAAAACTAGCTGAGGAAATAAGGAAGAAGGCTTCGACCTAAGCACAGTGACCTGAAGAGGAAATGGTCATGTAACAACAGTCTCATAACAACATTATATGCACTCCATAAGAAAATGGCACCTACCGTGGCTAATAAACATGGAAGTAAAATCAGAAGTAATATTCAAGATCATATGAGTTGTATGGAATTTCAATTTGTGTAGGCACTAATACAAGCTAAGTATGCGCGCAAATAGGGGGCAAAAAGACCAGGAAAAGTAATTACATACGTTTAAAGAAAGCTGAGAAGGAATGGAAGGAATTATTCGATTAATGATCTAGAGTTGGTTACGTTATGAACACACTTATGAGTTCGGAGTACTATTCATGCAACATATATGTTGACCATCATATAGCCGTAGAAGATTTTTGTTTAAGTTAAATGAAAGAATTGAGCCCAGGTCATAGATAAAGGACCGAATTGTTAGAAGATTGAATCATGGGTATTCCAAAGCGTCCTTGAAGGGCTAAAGTAATAACTAACATCATGAGCTGCAGATTGAAAGATAGCTTAAGCCTACATAAAGGTTGATCAGAGGGAAGAGGAAACTAAAGAATTACATTACCTAAGTAAATCAGGAGTTTGATTATTGGACCCAAGAAATTATGGACATCGTGATTGAGAATATTGCAGAATCATTCTTAGTATCAGAGGTGCAAGAGAGATATTATAACAACCATATTCTATAACGACCCTACGATAAAGTCTGTTAGAAAAGTACCAACCTCATAAGAAGTCAGTACGAAGCTCCAACCGGATTGTGTATACACTAGAGGTGCAAGTATTATAATATAGCTTCAACTTATGGACGTGAATTATACCTATTTAGAAGGGAGGTTATGAAAACAAATAGAAGATACAATGCGATGATTGAAAGGTAAGTAAGGAAAAGGTGAGGAAGATATGACTTGCTCAAATACGAAAGGATGTGAATAGTCGAGGCTTCAGATATAGTTTGGGTTTTAGTTTAACTTACTGAGGAGACCCTAGTGAAAATTTTGTAAATCTCTAAGAGTTAACATTCGAGGACGAATGTTCTAAAGGGAGAAATGATGTTACACCGTGTAAGTTTAACAACCTTGATACCATTATGGATATATTTGATATGGCATTTTGAGTGAAACATTTTTTTAAAGAGAAAGTTTGAAAAATATAATTTTATATAATTATTAATATTACTACTTTCGGATATGTTTTAAATTATACACATAATATGAGAAAGTTTATGAGATTTTCTTTATTGTAAAGATATAAATTATTTTTTCATAAGAAATAAAAGAAAATTATCTTTTTTACCATTTTAAGAATTAAGCGTAGGAAAATTTGTACTCTTTATATGAGATTAGGAAAATTAGAAGTTGAGAAAATATATACATTTTTTACATGGATGTTTTAATAAAATAATAGTATATGTATTTATTTTATATGGTACCGTATGACCGTGATAGTAAAGTGTATAAAGTGTGTTAAAAGTGAGTAGTATTTTAAGTAATTTGAGGTAATTCTTAATTATGTAGATAATTGATTAACTGACGGGATAATTATAATTAAGTAGATAAAGATCCTTTTTGGGGATGCTACTTGGCATCAATCTAAGCCAAAATGGCACTAATAGGCTTGATGAGTCATAAGGCATAAAATGACTTGTTTACACGTACAAAGTTTTGGATAAACAAGTACCAATTCATGGACTGAAAAACTAGTCTGAGCCATTTTGGTCTCTTTACTGATAAGTAACGTGAGGTTTATAAAAATCTTCATCAATTAATAAGAATAGGAATAGAAACGTTATCCAAGAGTTTCTTATCCAAATTACATTAGAAACGTCATTTTGGGGATGGAAAGGTTTCGGCCAAGATTTTCTTTGAGCAGTGTGATTGCGTTGAGCTTTTTATATGACTTGTTCCATGTTTCGGCAATTAACGTGTGTTAGAGGGATTATCAAGAGAATCGACTCAGCTATGTTAAGGTTATTCCATTTTTCTTTTGGCATGATATATACGACACAAACAAAACGAGCAAATGCACAATTTCCATAAATGACTCTATTCGTAGAAATGCTAGGGATGCTTATATTCTTCATTCTCCATATGTTTTATTATTCTATCGTCTGTTCATGGGTCCCAGCAAATATATAAGTTGATAAAAGTTATTTCGTGATATTAATCAGGGGCATAATGGTCTTATCAGGGGTGTTTTTGTTTTTTTTTTGTTTTTTCCTTTTGGAGGCCAATTCACTCACCAATATAAGAAGTTAAAACTTTCTAAATCACTCAATTACCAGTAAGTGTCTGAAAAGAATTAGGAGTATCACATAAAGATTGTTTAGTATGATTTCTTCCTTTTTTGCTCCTTTTTCCCCATAAATCTTCAGTTGTTCACATGGTTTACCTTTGTGTACGCCTCCAATAAAGTTTTAAAATTTCCGAAGGTGCAGCAAAGCATTATATAGTATGAGAAACCTGAGAATCTAAGAGCAACAAATTTGTACAAGTAAACTTACTCTCTAAATATATTGAGTTTCTAGCCTCATTTGCTACACTAATCGAAGAGTTGCATCTGTTTTCCACACGTCTGTCCATGATTGCATCCATTTTTAGCAGATATTAGCCTTCTTCTTGTTATTTCACCTTTCAACTGTCTTGTTTGTACTAGTATGAGCTACTTGCGTCTTAGGTTTACTATCATTCGTACCAAGAGGTTTTATTAACGTATTTCATATGCATTTCATGCATTTATACATGCACATTAAACCATGACCATATGGCATTACATATGCATATATACATATATATATGTATATGGGATATGGGAAAGGTTATGGCATTATATACGCACCACCACCTGATCAACTGGTATGCGTTCATGATTTTGCCCACAGTGGCCAAGATGATATGATGGGATGCCCTCAGAGATTTGATGATGTTATGAACACATGTACCTATGCACGACATGATATTCATATGCATATATATATATATATATGTATATATATATGTATATATATATATATATATATATATATATATATATATATGTATGTATATGTATGTATATGGGAAAGGTTATGGCATTATATACGCACCACCACCTGATCAACTGGTATGCATTCATGATTTTGCCCACAGTGGCCGAGATGATATGATAGGATGCCCTCAGAGATTTGATGATGTTATGAACACATGTACCTATGCACGACATGACATTCATATGTATATGCATGACACTATAAGTATTACATGATTTACAGAGTTATCCAGACTTACAAGTCGAGTCCTTTATTCCATGTTTCGCTCATGTCTATTGTCTATTATTTACTGATTTTCATTCCTTGCATACTCGGTACATTATTTGTACTGACGTCCCTTTTGCCTAGGGACGCCGCGTTCATGCTCGAAGGTTCCGATAGACAGGTCGAGTCCTTCAAGTAGGCCATCAGATAAGCGAAAGATGTTGGTGCGCTCCATTTGCTCCGGAGTTGCTTATTTTGTCAGTATGATATAGACGTGTATTGTTTGATATGGCGGGGCCCTGCCCCGACGTTTGTGATAAGTATGTACTCTTAGAGGCTTGTAGATAGATATAATGAATACGAACACATGTATGGCCTTGCCGGCCTATGTTTTGAGTTTACAAATGATCATGTTGGCCTTATAGGCCCGTATGTCACATGTATAAGTTTTTATGTCAGGTTGGGTCGTTCTATATTGACTATTCCCTTATTTTTATTCTGGTTAGCCCATGACATCCCTCTTGACCCATTTGCCAATGAAAGTATAATAAGAAATATATATTATTGTATACGGTGAAATCGGTGGGTCCAATTTCTTGCTATTAAGGCACTTGGGAAGATCACATCGAAGGATCTAGACCACGGCCGAGTATCCTCCCTCGAGGGTCGTCGACAGTCGACCTCGAGGCAGTAATGATTACGGTAATGGTAGAAATGGGGAGTTCCCAAGGTAACGGCTAGGACTGACAAAGCCTGGTGGACTACTCTAAACCCAAATCAGGGCGTCATCTAGATGTCCCATCCCTAAATCTTTGTCATTAATGTATTTTGTACTATGTTGGGATACCCCTCCTATATAAAGGGGATCCTTGTCATTTTGTAAACCCCTGTTGCTTCAGTTGCTCACACGAAATATAGAAGAACATTTGCTTTGCTCTCTAACACATTCTCTTGATATCATTGCTTACATTTATTATCTTTATTATTGTTCATCATTTATCGCTTATAATTGGCCATAAATAGCCTTCATTGGTTTTACTATAACTGTTAGCCATATTTCGACCACCTTCGATAGTTCACAGCTGAGCTCCGGAATCGACCTTGAGGCCCCGATTGTTAACCTATCGGTTTGGTTATCACCTTATCCTTAACTCTCATTTCGTTTCTAAGTCTCACGTACATAGATTCAACTGCTTAACAACTAACATAAAAATAGATCACGTATTTTAAGAGTCCTGTAATCAAATTTAATTGTTATTACCATTTTTACGGTAAACAGTTTGGCACCCACCGTAGGGATAAAAATAATAGTGATTATTTTCTTGCTGGTTTTACTATATAACGTGAGTTATCTTTCACGCTTTTTCTTGTCTAAGATCTTTGATTTCTGGTCGAAACGTCTAACTCAGTGAATGGAGGTTAAAACAACAACCCTGAGGACCACAGAAAAAATGGTGTGGGTGTTCTAGGTGTTGGTGTGCCACCACAAAACCCTAGGAATGCACCAGGACCAATTCTGTCTAACGTAATCTCGCGCGATGCCCAACAGGTCGATATAAGCTCGCACACCAATAGGAATGTGCACCAAGGAGATCAACAAGAAGCTCAGAAAACCCCAACTAGGGAAGAACGGGAGGTTAGCCTTCATATTATTTTTGAAATGTTGCAGGTACAACAACTGTCTATTGCCCAGCTGCAATGTCACCAGAAAACCCCTAGCACGGTGTCACACCTCCTTTTTACACCCCTGGGGGTATAAGAGAGTTTTTCCAATTTAAGTGACATTATTTGAAATGGGATTATTTATTTGATTTCAGAGTCGCCACTTGGGATAATTTAATTGGTGTCCCAAGTCACCGGTTTATTTTAAATCCCAAATCGAGGAAATTTCGACTTTCCTTTTGAAGTCTGCGAACCAGAAATTCTAAGTAAGGAATTCTGTTAACCCGGGAGAAGGTGTTAGGCATTTTCGGGTTCCGTGGTTCTAGCACGGTCGCTTAGCGATTTATACTTGGCTTAAATTGTTTAACTACTCATTTTTAGGACCTATGTGCATTTATCTCTTTACCACTTTTAAATCACTCACTTGATTATTCATAATTAAATAATTGAGTTACGCGTACGTATACTCTTTTCCTTTAGCGCGTCAAAAATCATGTCACACGAACGTGTCCACAATTAATAACGCTTTGTTTATTTTATTAAGAAAAGTTTGGTTGAAGTTGCGCGAACGCACCCCTCGAGTCATTTTTAGAATTAAATTTGCGATTATGTTACGCGAACATATACATAATCACAATGCTAGTCTAAATCGAGCCTAAAGCAAACTACGGGTATTTAAAGAATTAATTACATCTAAGTTTATATTAACTAAAACAGGGCCAGGGTAATTTTAGCGAAAATGGCACACCTCCAAGAATTGTTTTTTAAAAAAAAAGATTAATCTTGATTGAACATCCGAAATTTAAACCCAAAGCTGTTGAGTAGCGCATAGAGCCCAAGCAGCAGGCCCCAAGCTGATCACAGAAAAGCAACTAGGCCAATTGCAGGCCCATGGAATTAATACAAACTTCCCTTATCCTTTTCTTTTAAGACCAAAAGAAGGGTATCAACACTTATTGGGCTCAGAATACTGAGCCCAGATGCAAGTTATGTAATTGAACCCAAGGCTAAACTCAAAGGAAATTAGTAGTTGAAGCCCAAACATTACTGCTACACAAATTTATAAATAAACGAACAATTGATTCTGCCACTAAAGGAAGCTGGGGCCTTAACCATATTGATTAACATAAAGCTGGAGACTCGATGGAAGTTAGCATTTTTCAAGACCTTCATTTGATAAAAAACGCGGCAGCCATACTTTTCAAACAAATTAAAACCAAAGCCCAATGTTTAATTACAACAAAAGATAAAACTATTCTAATTCAATAATTCGTTTGCGGAGCATTTAACAACATCGGATTTTGAATAAGAAACTGTTCATGAGCTACATAGTGTATTTGGTGTATTATTTCTACTGATTTTTAACAAAAGTCACCAAAATAAATAAAGCTTGAAACTAGTACATAAAAAATCTAAAATACTAACCAAAGTCACTATTATTCTAATGGATTTAACATGCCAATACAAATAGTAGTATTTATTTGTTTCCTTTTCCCGACTTATCAACAGTGCATCAGAAAGGTTGAATTAGAAAGCTCCTAATTGGATTGAAAAAGAAACACCAAACTACAATCCTTATATCATGTTCAAAGCTTTATGGAAACTGGAAAAAATGTTTACAAAGCAGAATTTATACACAAGCTAAATCTTGAAAAAAGAACATTGAGTTGGGCTAAATTTGTGTTGAAAATCTTGTAGTAATATTTCAACACTCAAATATCATAGTGTGAGGTAAAAATAGGTAAACCCATTTATTAACTAACAAAAACTCATTCAAATCCATCAATAGCTTATTCTGTCAACTCAGAATCTTAACAGAGCAAAACGAATCAAGAACAAACGGAAAAAAGTAATAGAACTTAAACTTAGACAAAGCACACTTTATCAATAGGAGAATCAATAGGTATTACAGCAAAATTTCATCCTTGATTCAAATATAAGTTAGAATTTACATACCTCAAGCAAAGAAACAGACTTGGCAAAATCAAATAAAGGCTACAAGAACGAAGAAGAAGAAGCTCAGCAGATCAGCAGTACGAATCCAAAAAAATCAATAGCAAATCCACAGCTTTGAGAACCAGAAATAGACTCAATCCAAACCCATTCTCGCACAATCAGAATCTTACACCTTTTCTAGATTTGTTTTGAAACAAATTAAACTTCAAATCAACAAACAAACTCAAACCATACTTTTTATTCTTTTTTTTTAATAGAGGCAAACTAAAATTTTTAAAGGGAAAGAAAAGGGCTTGAAGAGTATGACAACTCTAAGAACCCTAGAAAATTCTTTCACTCTCGAAAATATTTCCAAACTTTTCTTCCGTTTTTTTTATCCTCCCTTTTTCCCCTTTTTTTCAACTTAGAAGACTTACCTCATATATATAGAGCCCTCGAAAATTCTCGAATCTTCCGCCCAAATATCCGAAAATCTTCAAGTTTTTGAATGATTTTTGGGACAAATGGAAGGCATGGATCGATTTAAATCCATCCACGACTCCCATTCATCCAGCAAATCATTCCTATAGTATAAGAATCCGCGGTTTTGAAAGAATATCGTACTCCTCTGACAAATCCGTTGAGGATAAGGTGACGTGGAGGGGGGGACCAATGAGTGAACTCGCTCAAAACTCAAACGAGTTAAGGCGAGTTGAGCGAGAAGAAGAAGAACAGTAGAGGGGGGCGTCGTCTCTGATTTCCTAGGTTTAGGGTTCAAATGGGGGAAATAATTATAAGGAGGCTTTTATAT